TTTAAAAAAATAAAATAAAATAAAATAGAATTTGATTCCCAGAATTTGCTTTATGAGAACACAGGTCTTCATTAAGGTACACATACACATAATCACTCTCTTAGTTTCTCTGTATTCTAGAGGCAGAGACCCTCTGCACTGCAGATTCAGGCTGTATTTCATGTGGAATGAGGAACAAATGGGTGATGTGTTTTTCTTCCTTATCAACTTCCCCTTCATATATACTAAGAACTATGTTCTTGTTTATTAATATTTTTATTGGTGTACTATAATTATATATAATACAATTATATTATGGGATCCATTGTTACATATTCATACATGCACAAGATGTAACAATATAATTTGGTCAGTATTATTCTCCAGTATTTTCCCTTTTCTTATCCTCCTCCGTACCCTTGGTCCCCTTTCCTCTACTCCACTGATCTTAGTTTTTCATGGTAAACCACCTGCCTCCTTTTCCTTTATTCTTTCTATTTCCACATGTGAGAGATAACATATGACTCTTGACTTTCTGAGTTTGGCTTATTTCACTTAACATAATGAAGAGCTAATTATTGAATCAGGGCTGCCTTCCCTGTGTTCTGAAAGCCTGGGTTCCACATCCAGATGTCTGTGTGCAGGTTAAGTCCCTTAGAGACAGAATGTAATCAACTCTGCTACCCACTAAGACCAGATTTTCCTTTGTCATGTTCTCTTTGTTGCCTTTTTGAAGATCAGTAATAGCAAAACCTATCCTTTAGAGAGTTATGAATTTGAAGAGCTGAGAAGAGAGTTCACTTTGTTTTCTCTGTAAAGAAATTTAATGGCTTGTGGAAGGAAGGGAAAGAGAAAAACCAAATTTAATAGGATTGAAGAAATTCCTTGCTTTTTAATCTCTTCTCTGTTATGAGCATATGATAATAGTCTGGGTACTATTTTTGTGTTTTTTTATTTTTTAATTTGACATAATAATTGTACATATTTATGATAATTTGGTACATGTGTACAAGGTATAGTGATTATATTAGAGTAATTAGTATTTCCCTATCCTTAAACATTTATAATTTCTTTGCATTTGGAGCCTTTGAAATCCTTTCTTCCAATTCTTTAATAAATTGTTGTTAACTATGGTCACCCTTCTGTACTGGTAGAATATTAGAACTTATTTCTCCTATGTAACTGTATTCTGGTACCTGTTATGAAACCTCATTCCCATTGGGTACTATTTTAAAGTGTCTACTGCTTTGAAATGTTTTGAGTAGGGGACTGGACCCATATCTCTTACATTGTAATAGTATGTGTGGTTATTGGATGTTTAATTGATGTTTGCTTCTATCAGGAGCTTTAAAGCAGTTAGTTAACTGGGGTTATATGGAAGGCTGGTCCTTGTTAGTGTTTACCTCAAAATGATTGTCATTCTACCACCACACAATTTCTTTTCTAGAATGACAGGCCTTCAGATTACTTAAAGGTACCTGATAATTAATTATTCTTTAAAAGCCACTCATAATCAGCCAAGCATACTGTAAGGAAAACACCTACTGCGTTTCTCAAGCAGTATGGAATGAAATAGAGGTAATGCAGATTTTGAACATTTATATCCAGAGGATATATGAGTATTCAGATATTTTACTGTGGCTGTGGAGAAGTCAATTTTACTTCCAAATATACTGTGCCTTTTCTTTTATTTAGTAAGTTTCAGAAGGAAATAATAAAGAGCCCAGCAAGGTAGCACACGCCAGCAATCCCAAAGTTGCTGATTTTTTTTTTTAAATTGCTCCCTACCCCTTTTTCCTTTGTATTGGGGATTGAACCCTGGGTGCTCTACCACTGAGCTACATCTGTAGCCCTTTTTATCTTCAATTTTGAGACATGGTCTTTCTAAGTTGCTTAGGGCCTCACTAAGTAGCCAAGGCTGGCCTTGAATTTGGAATCAGCTCCCTGGAGTCTTTGGGATTGCTGGCCTGTGCTACCTTGCTGGGCTCTCTATTATTTCCTTTTGAAACTTACTAAATAAAAGAAAAGGCACAGTATAGTCATTCCTACAGGTATTTGCCTGGTCATTAAGTGGAGGACAGCTCAGTATGTTACACTATTTTGTATTTGTGGATCACTTTTCTTCCCTGCCCCTTAATACTCTTTGCAGATGTTTTTAGATGTGAGTTATAAATGGAAAAATTTTAAATTTATTACCAACTCACTGCTCAGCTGTTCTTTGCTTTAGTTGTTTTGAGAGGCAAAGTACATGACCCATCTAGAAATGCACACAATTTTAATTTCTGTTATTTTTAACTCTGAGCAGTCCTAAACTTAAGTTCTGTTTTTCCAGAATCCTAAAGGAAGACAGCATTGTCTTGGAGAGATCTCTGCTAGGTTCATAACCCCAGAAACTTCTGTTGTTTCCCCTCCCCCTCCCTCCTCTTCCTCCTCTCCTTCCCCCCCCCCCCGCCTCTCTCTCTCTCTCTCTCTCTCTCTCTCTCTCTCTGTTCAGAAGATAGAAGTTCTGTTTCAAATTTTTTGCAAATTACTCTGAACCTTAATAAGAAATTTCAGTCTGGAACAAGTTTTGTGTTTAATAATTAGAGACTTGTCTTAAGTTTTTATTTTGGGAGATGGGAGTCATTTGAGGGTGACCTGATTTTTTTTATGTGGTTGTCTGCAGCAGTTTATCTTGTAAAAGATTATTTACCTTGTCCTCTCCCTATCTTTTATTATGAAAACTTGGAAATATACAGAAAAATTGAAAGAATCAGTGGCTCCATAAGTTAACATTTTTATTTATATTTACATAGAACTGTCCACCTAGACATCTCTTTACTTTGTCCCCTTCCTACCCCAGAAAAAACATGACCTTAAGCTAATTGCAGTGGCTGCACACTTGTGATCTCAGGGACTTGGGAGACTGAGGCAGGAGGATTGCAAGTTCTCAGCCTCAGCAACTTAGCTAGATCCTGTCTCAAAATAAAAAATAAAAATCGCTAGGGGTATAGCTTAGAGGTAAAGTGTCCCTGGTATTCTATTCCCAATACCAAAAAAAAAGAAAAAGAAAGAAAGAAAAAAAGATCATTACAGCTAATCAGCTAACAGTAAAGTGATGAGAAAGGGGATAGGGAAGGAGGGAAGTAGATACACATACATAATTTTTGATATGTTGTAGACAGAGTACAGCAGGTTGGTAAATGAGGGAGAATAACCTGGATCTACTACAGACTTCTAGCTGTAGGATACAAACACATAATTCCCATTTAAATCATTCCCCTTAGAGGTTTACTGTTGGGTCAGGAGGTAAGAACAAAGAAAGTACACCGTTTTGCCAAGTAGCCCACATGAATCCTTCATTGAAGATTAATAATGTGGGATGGCCTGGCTAATGGAGTTCAGAAGAGAGCATATAATACCAGAAATCTAGGGCACTTTACAAAGGCTTCTGGGAAGAAATGGAATGGAACTGGGCCAAGAAGTAGGGAAGAACCAGAGAACAACAAATGTACAGGGGTTCACACCTGAGGTTCTCTACATGTCTGGGAAAAGTGACAATGTGGTGAAGTGCTAGCTGCTCACTGGAAGCCTTTCTTTCGGGTAATTGGACAACGAGCTGCCCTCTTTGTAGGGCTTAATGCCAGACCCTGCCCTTATCCAGACCTGACCTATTCCTTCTTTCCTGAGTGTTCCAAGTCAGCCTCCCTCCAGGGTTCAGCCCTTGTTGCTCATGGTGTATGGATCATATACTTCCATATGTCTCTATGGCTCCCTTGCTTCCTTCTGGCCTCTGCTTAGTGAGAACTTCTCAGCTAACCCTGTATAAAAAAAGCAGCTCCTCCTGGTATACACCAGTCCTTCACATTCTTTACATGCTTTGTTCTTCCTGCTGTGACTAGAATAGTGCTTGTGATTATAAATACATATATGTATATGAGTAGATAATATGGATTCAGGGAGTTGGTGCACAGGAAATGGGTGATGCAGTAAGAAATGAACAAATGGGATCCCTCAGCTTTTTTTTTTTTTGATACTGGGGATTGAATCCAGAGATACTCTACCACGGAGCTATATATCTGCAGCCCTTTTTATTTTGAGAGTGTTCTAGTCAACTTTCTGTTGCTATGACCAAAGACCTGAAGAGAACAACTTAGAGGAGGAAAAGATTTCAGAAGTTCAGTCTACAGTCAGCTGACTCCATACCATATCTCTGAGTCCAAAGTGAGGCTTGACATCATGGCAGAAGGATGTGGTAGAGGGAAGCAGCTCAGGACATGGCAAACAGGAAGCAGAGAGAGAGAGAGAGAGAGTTCTTCCACCAAGAACAAAATATAAACCCTAAGGCAAGCCTCCAGTGACCTATTTCCTGTAGGTACACCCTATCTACCTATAGTTACTTCCCAGTTAATCCGCATCACTGGATCAATTTACTGATTAGGTTATAGTTTTGAATAATTGAAATCATTTCAGGTCTAAGCATTCTTTTAAATTTTTTAATACTTATTTATTAGTTTTCGGCGGACACAACATCTTTGTATGTGGTGCTGAGGATCGAACCCGGGCCGCACGCATGCCAGGCGAGCGCACTACGGCTTGAGCCACATCCCAGCCCCAAAGCATTCTTGCATTGTCTCACACCTGAGTTTTTTCAGGGAGAGGGGCTTATTCCTAAACCATAATAGGTAGGGTCTAAGTTGCCGAGGCTGGCCTTAAACTTGTGATCCTCCTGCTTCAGCTTCCTGAGTTGTTGGAATTATAGGCACCTAGCATAAATGAGAATTCTGAAGTATATGCTTTTGTTTTTGTAGTTATTACTTTATATTTTCTTGTCAAAATAGCCATAAGAAGTTTGAGCTGGCAGAGCTGCCAAAACATGTCTTGGGTAGTACAATCATAGAGAAGGTTGAAATTGGATATGGTTAGCTTGCTTTACTGCTTAGAAAAACCCTAGGGAATTCATCTTAAGTATATTTTTCTTTGAAAGATTTGTGCTGCTAAGTGAAACCTTGGTGATTCTGATTCTTCTTGTCATCTCCAAGGACCCCTGCAGTGGACCATGAGTTGGTAATGCACACTGAGTACCACTGGGAGCCATGTCAGACGAATCCGCCTCAGGGAGCGATCCAGACCTGGACCCGGACGTGGAGCTGGATGATGAGGAAGAGGAGGAGGAGGAGGAGGAGGTGGCAGTGGAGGAGCATGACAGGGATGATGAGGAAGACCTGCTGGATGGTGAGTAGTAAAGGAAAGTTTTGCTTGTGGGAGCTTAGTGTTAGGTCATCCATATGAGAAGACATAGACTGAGAACTTAGCAAATGTGACCTCTTAATGCTGAATCTCAGAAACTGGATTCTTGTCTTCCACGTAAGCCTTGTTTTAGTATTGGAAAAACTTTTAGTGTTTAACCCATCTTTCACAACTATAGAGCTCAGGTCCAGAGATTGAAAGGTAAGGTGCATTTGCCCAAGTCATGGTGAAGCAATGGCAAAGTTTCTGTTGCTTAGGGCCTCGCTAAGTTGCTAAGGCTAGCTTTGAACTCTTGATCTTCCTGCCTTAGCCTCCCAAGCCCCTGGATTACAGGTGGGCACTACTGTGCCCAGCTGAACCTTTTCTTTTCATCTAATATTAGCTTATTTGGGCAGTTACATGGCTTTTCAATGAATTCTGGCCTTTCATGATATAGGATTTAGTTATTCATAATACTAACTGAGGAATAGAGATTTTGTCTGATCATAATAGACCCACCCGCTGTGGAACTAAACATTGCATTAGATCATCATCACTTGAATCTGAAGGAACATAGGAAAATGTGCTCCATTTTTCAGATTCCAGGAAGATGAGCAGCAATCCATTCTCTTTGCTGATGTTACTATCATCATTTTTTATTCAACCATTCTAACACCTTCTATATGGCTCAAATTAAATTTCTTTATACTGTCATTGTATGTTATACTGCCCAAATATCTGCTCTGTTTCCATCTTACTTCAAATAGGGAAATGGCCATTTCAGTTTTATTTGGCCCTGATGGCAGCAGTTTCTCTATTACTAGCTTATTCAGTTGGAGTCTCCCCTGAAGTGATTCTGTTGTTTGTTTTATAAGGCAGGAGTAGAAATAGTGGAAGACAGTGATGATGTGATAGTGCACCATCTTCTTTGGCTTTCATTTTTCTGGTGTTAAGAGTCCCCAGGTGTCTGAATCAGTTTTTTGCTTTTTATCATTTAGCTTCTGAGAATTATATTTTAGATAGCCCTAGGACTCCTGTAAGGTTCAGATCAGATTTTTGGTACTGCTAGTGAGTATGATGGATATAAATAGAGTCTCCTCCCTCTTGGCTTCTTGGAATCTTCTTGCCAAAAGCTTAATGACAGTGGGTATCCATGGATTCTATATCTGAGGATTCAATCAGCTGTGGATTAGAAATATTTTTTTGGGAAAAAGTGTCTGTGCTGGATATACAGAAACTTTTTCTTGTCATTATTCTCTAAATAATACAATATAACAACTATTTGTGCAGCATTTACATTGTATTAGAAATTATAAATAATCCTTATTTTATAATTTACAGTACTGGGAATTGAGCTCAGGGGTGTTCTATCACTAAGCTATATCCCCAACCTTTTTTAAATTTTTAAATTTCTTTGTGGTGCTGGGGATTGAACTTTGTGCATGTGAGGCAAGCGCTCTACCAACTGAGCTATATCCCCAGTCCCCCAGCCTTTTTAAATTTTATTTTTGAGACTAGGTCTTGTTAAATTGCTAAAGCTGGCCTTAAATTTGAAATCCTACTACCTCAGCCTCCTGACTCACTGGGATTATAGGTGTGCTGCCACCATTCCTTGCCAGAGATGATTTAAAGTATATCGGAGGATGTGCATAGGTTATATGCAAATACTCTGACATTCTATATAAGAGCTTTAGCATCTGTGGATTTTCGTATTTGTAGAGGGTCCTAGAACCAATCCCCTGAAGATACCAAGAGATGATTCTGTTAAAAAATTATATGTTTTTAAAATGTGGTGTGTGTATGTGTGTGTGTGTGTGTGTGTGTGTGTGTGTGTATACATATATATATATATATATATATATATATATACCACATTAGAATAATAGAATATTATTTAGACATAAAGAAGTATGAAATTATGACATTTGCCAATAAGAGGGTGGAACTGGGGAATATCATGCTTAGTGAAATAAGCCAATCCCAAACAACCAAATGCTGAATGTTCTCTCTGATATGTTGGTGTTAACACACAAAAAGAGAGGGAAGAGTAGAAGTTCATTGGATTAGACAAATAGGAATGAAGGGAAAGGTGGGGGGATGGGAATAGGAAACATGGTATAATGAATTGGACATAACTTTCTTATGTTCATATGTGAATATACAATGTAACTCTGTATCATGTACAACCTCAAGAATGGGAAGTTAGGGGCTGGAGATGTGGCTCAAGCACATGCGTGCAGCCAGGGTTTGATCCTCAGCACCATATACAAACAAAGATGTTGTGCCTGCCGAAAAATAAAAGATTAAAATCCTCTCTCTCTCTCTCTCTCTCTCTCTCTCTGAAGACTTTACTATTATTTATTTAGAAGTTTAGCAAGAATTTAATAGTAATTTGTCTCAGAATAGTAGAGCTATGCAACTGGGGTTTTGTTGTTTGCATTGCTGGGAATCAAACACAAGTCCTTGGCACATGATAGATAGGTGCTGTACCTACCATTGAGTTACACCCCTACCCTGCAATTAGCGTTTTTAAATAAAAGAATATTTATTCTATTCTTGGATTAAATAATCTTAAAACACTGATATGATTTATTTCTATCACTTATGAAGTCCAGAGTGATAAAAAAAATTTCATTAGATACTGTCTGTACAATTTTGCTTAAACACCTGTCTTGTCCTTCCTTCCTTGGCTTGTTATCATCCCCCAGTCCTAATGGACAAAGCAGCCAACTGTTCTAAAAATAGGGCTGGGTATGGTTAAACATGCTTGTAATCCCTGTGATTTAGGAAGTTGAGGCAGGAGGATTTTAAGTTCTAAGCTAGGCTGGGCAGTTTAGTGAGATACTATCTCTAAATAAAAAATAAAAAGGGTTGGGAATGTAGTTCAGTGGGACAGTGACCCTGAATTCAATTCCTGGTACCATACACCAAAAAAAAAAAAAAAGAAAGAAAGAAAAATTTATGAATGGCTTTGAAAATCTGGTCTTAGCTGATAGAGTATAATGTGGCCTTTTTGTTTTCCACTTGGGATGATTTTTGCCTTCAGAAGATGGTTTACAATATTTGGTAAAGACATTTTGCTCGTCATGATTCCTGGGGGGTGAGGAGGGGATGCTACTGGTGTCTTATGGGTAGAGACCAGGGACACTGCTAAACATCCTGCAATGCATAAGAAAGCCTCAATACCCACTCCAACAATTATCTGGCTCAAATGTCAATGGGTACTAATATGTGAGAAACCCTTTCAAAATGAAAACTGTTACTTCAACCCATTTTATTTGAAGTTTCATCTCTGTTGGATAACAATAGCTTTCTTGTATATATATTTTTGTCATAGTTTACATAAACATCTAAACAATATTATTCCTTTCAAAGAACTGTCTTTTGGCTTTTGTAATATCCACTGTTGTGTTTATTTTCTTTGTAATTTCTACTTTATAATTTTCTGTCTACATTTTTGGGCTTATTTTGACTTTCAAACTCTTAAGCATATGCATAGATTGTTAATTTTCAAATTTCTTTTTCTAATATGAGTATTTAAAACAATTAATTTCCCTTTACTGCATTTAGACATTCTTTATTTTACTAAATAGTTCTGACAGTCTTGTCTGAAAGGTGAAGAATACATTTTACAGATGAGGAAACTGAGTCTCAGAAAGGAGATTGGCTTACTCTATATAAGTTAGCAAGAAAGTAGCAAAGCTGAGCTTTTGGTCTTCAAAGCGGTGTTTTTAAATTTTTGTGCAGTACTAGGGTTTGAATTCAGGAGTACTCTACCATTTAACAATATTCCCCCAAACATTGATATTTTTTATTTTGAGATGGGGGCTTTTTAAGTTTTGCCAGGCTAGCCTCAAATTTGGGATCCTCCTTCCTCAGTCTCCTGTGTATCTGGGATTACAAATCAGTACAACTATAAGTATGAGAGATGCTAGAGAATGTTGAACTGTCTTTAATATAGTACTGGATATATTAGGGGGATGACCAGAGTGAGACTGGAGAGATGGCTTGTGGTTACACTATGAAGTTAAGAATTTGTTTTATAGGCAGCACAGAATTAATGGAAATTTTTTACTGAGGAGCATTCATTTGACCTTTGATTTTCATCTGACCTTTGATTTTAGAAATGTTACTCTAGTAGTTTCCAAAGAGATGACCTGTAAACAGGGAAGACCAATAGGTGTGTGGTAGAAATCTGTGGGAAAGGGTAATGAAGATTTAATCCTTTTGGGTCAGTTGATCTGGACAAGAGGAGTAAATGGTTATACCTGTTGCACTGGAATACATAGGACCTAGTCACTTACTGGATGTGTAGGGCAGGTTGAAGTGGGAATAGGTAAAGCCTGGGAGGATGATGAGACCTCTATAAATGTGGGAATACCAGTATAGGAAGTGTGTGTGGTGGGTTCTAAATACTTTTGGCTTTGCTTGCAGTAAGTGAGGATGTTGTCTGTCCCTTGATATTGAACTTTGACACCAACTTGTGGAATATTTGTCTAACTGGCTACAATAATAGTACATGGAGGTTTTGGCTATTGGAGAATAGCACCATGACGTTACCTTCAGAGCAACTCAAAAGTGAGGAAATGAGAGTGCTTTTTGTTTATAGCATGTCATGGGACTTATGGCATATTGTGAGGCATTTTGGATTTAGCTTGTCATTTAGAGAAATGACAGTTCATCATTCTCTAGCATCTGTTGTACTTATGGTAGTACCAATTTGTAATCCCAGCTACACAGGAGACTGAGGAAGGAGGATCGCAAATTTGAGGCTAGCCTGGCAAAACTTAAAAAGCCCTCGTCTCAAAAAATATCAAGGTTTGGGGGAATATTGTTCAATGGTAGGGTACTCCAGAATTCATTCCCTTCTTTTTCATTCCTCCTGATGTCTGTGCTGTGGGGTTTCCTCTTTTGAAATGGTGGGGAGAGGTGGGTGTCAGCATCAGGTTCCCCCCCACACTTTTAAAAAATTTGTTCTTTTTAGATATACATGATAGTAGAGTGTA